ATATTTTCTGAAAAATTGCTGAATTAAAAAAAATATTTTGCCTACGTAAAGGAAAGTAATTTATAAATGTAGAATTGTTAAGATTTTCCATAAAACGTGTGAAATTATGAATATCACAAAAGCTCAAAGATTTCTCGAACCTCTTATACACTTCCAATATTAAAACCAGACGATTCGTTCTTGTTGAATTTTCCTCTCAAGTTTAAATCTTAAAATTGTGTCATGCAGTTAAGAAACAGCAGTTGTTGAGTAATTACAATAAAAGGAGGAAGAGTCGTCCAAAGTCGCTGATTCTCACATTTTTAATTTATTAGATTGCTGTAACCTTTCGGTCTTATACCGAACTCCAATTCCGGCCTTTCCTTCTACGTGTGTTCTTGGACATACCATCCCTTTGAATGAACAATTTTTTGTGATTTTGGGAGCGTGAATTGCGTTTACCTTTTCCGCCTCATCCTTATACCTTACCCCTTTTTGGATTTATAGGGGAAGTGAGAGCGGAATCAGGATAAGAGTCCCTTGCCTGCAGAAGCACTAGGCTTTCCATGGCAGGCAAGTCATTCGTAAGGGCTGAACAGGACAGGATTTGGTGAGTCAATAGGAGAGTTTCACATGCCATAACATACAAAGAAACATCCCTATTGGAGGTGGGATTTAAACCAGCGACTCTTCAAGCCAAGAACGTTCTGACCCTGCCGCCTTAACTCTGTATTGTACGAGCGTTGCATTGACGCGCTTTAAAGAAACGCGCGGTGTATATTAACACAGTATTTTATGCGGAACGGTCAAAGCGCTCGTGTGCCGTTTCGCATTAGACACAGTGTTATTCTACGACCCGCGGTACTTTACGTTCGTTAACGTAACGCTGGTGTGCATGGGCCCTTAACGCTCGGATTTCCTGGTCAGTAATTTACATTTATATTCTTCAACACTTCCAATTCTGCACATTTTGATGTTACATTCGTTTATTCCGAAAGGCATTTTCTAAGCGTAGTATTTTCTAATCACTATTTCTTCCTCCTCGCCATCACTTCCTATCACACCGACACGATTCCATACCTCTCACGACTTCCGACTTCCGTTTTGTTTTCTGACTTGTCCTCGGGCGAAGGGACGCTTCGAAAACTTTCGTCATCGCCGGCGCTTGTCACGCCGCTCGTCCGCATTGTGTTTCGCTGCGAAGATCAAGCGTCGAGCAAAAGAAATCTCGAAGGGGACAACTCCCGACGACAGACGCCGCGCGGCGCGGCGCCGAGACTTGTCGCCCGCTAAAACTCTGACGTTCAGATCGGAGCAGAACACAAACACGGCGCCGCGTCGCCCGCGCCGCCCTCGCGACGATTTCACGGTTCAGAGGACGCGGAGCGGAGCTGGCGTGG